CGTGATTAAGGTGACGCTGTTGTAATGGAGCTTGAGATGGCTAAAGATTGCAATGTTATGATGATCAAAGACAAGTTTTTGCCTCTTAGATACGCGTTTGGATCTTCACAAAGCAGTAAGTGTGTTATCTATGGAGGCTATTCGTTGCCAAAAATCCAGCCTTTGAAACTTGATAATGCATACTTCGGTTCTACTAAACAGATTAGTAAAAATCTAATTGTCGATACTTAACTGGTATTAAGCGTTTTGATTATCTCGATTTGATAAAACGGAAGCTGTTAACATGGAACTTAGCTAAATTGCAAACTGTATTCAGAAATGTATAACTTCAAATTTGCGACATGTAGAAATGTTAACAATAGAACGTACACAACACGTTTAATGCCGTGCATCATGACGTTTCAAGAGTGTAACTGCACCAGTTAACACTCTCAGGTTGACAACACCACGCTTTCCTTTTACATTCTAACGCGATTAACATTTGTAAACGATTTTGCAACTTCAATATATGTAATTATCACGGAAATAGACGAAAATTAATAGGCGGAGCCAATTTATACGAAAGCAGAATATAAAGAGAGGTAACTCTTGCTGGTACAAAATATTACAAATTATATAAAACTGTTATAAATTTCACATACATCAACTGCATTACAGTTGTTTTGAATATCTTCTGATTATTAAAGTAATGCAAAATTGGTTAATGTATATTGTAACAATGTAACAACGTTTATACTGATAATGAGCATAATAATATGCAAAAACTAAAGTTGGTGAATTAATATAAGGGAATGTTTCCCCTATATAAAGACACAACACATTTATTTTCTTCGACAGAATTTTGTGCCTTCAAACGTTACAACAGGATGTATTTTACATTCAGTAAACATTACTAGAATGCAATACATGGATTTCACTTTTGGCAACACGAATAAAGAGAACTGAACAGTAAGCATATGCCTTCTTTCTTTAAAGGACTATATTGGGTTATAGAAAAACCCAAATGTTTTACCGTGTGTATAGCTATGGAACTACTCAAACGTTACTATCGATAATTCCGTTGTATAACCAAAAACTTGTGAATTTGTCCCATTTTATTTATGAAGTGTATCCTAGAATCTCTGTTTACCTCCATTGGGAGATATTTTGAGTCATAGGATGTGATTTAGCCTTTTTATGATTAAATATATGTAAGCGGACGTAGGTTAAGGTCTTCTTTTATGCATTGTACTGAATCAATATCAGCTCTAAGATCTGTGTATACATGCTGTCAATAGCTGTTACCTAGACTTACTGTCTGTCTGATCAAAAGCAGAGAACTATTTTATATGGTGGCTGATTTGTGCCATTCGTGTTTTCGCCCCGCGACCCCGCCAAGTGAAAAGTCGAAATTTAACAAGTTAAAATGGCGGGGGCGCGCAGCAAGAACACGATAATTAGCGGGGGCGCGGGGCGAAGTTGAATAAATTAAAGTTCGCCCCGCGGGGCCGCGGAGCGAGATTTAAGAAATAAAACGGCGGGATCTCGGGCCAAAAACACGCAAATTAGCGGGGTCGCGGGGCGAAGTTTAATAAATAAAACTTCGCCGCGCGCCCTCGCTAATTGGCGTGTTTTCGGCCCGCGATCCCGCCAAGGGAAACGTCGTGATTAACATGTAAACTGGCGGGGGCGCGCAGAGTAAACACGTTAATAAGCGAGGGCGCGGGGCGAATTTTAATAAATAAAACTTCGCCCCACGGGAGCGCGGAGCGAGATTTAAAAATAAAACGGCGGGGTCGCGGGACGAAAATACGATAATTAGCGGGGGCGCGGGGCGAAGTTTAATAAATAAAAATTCGCCCCGCGGGGCCGCGGAGCGAGATTTAAGAAATAAAACGGCGGGATCGCGGGCCGAAAACACGCTAATTAGCGTAAATAAAACTTCGCCGCGCGCCCTCGCTAATTGGCGTGTTTTCGGCCCGCGATCCCGCCAAACGAAAAGACAATAATTAACATGTTAAAATGGCGGAGCCTGATTTTTGACCCAATGACCTCGAAATTATAAGATGTCTACTGATCAGGTGCAATGATCTTTCTGGGTTATATAAACCATGGCTAATCCCTTCTAAATTATTCATCAGACAAGGATTTTACCTTAAAGGCTATCTACTGGAGTCTGTCCATTGGCAATGTCCCTACTTATTTCTTCCCCTGTTATCGTATAAACAAAGTTAACAGGCCGTAGTACGTACAAACTGACCAATTCGATCACAAAATTGTCCCAACAAAGGGCTATAGTCAAAATTAATGTCTGATGGGCGTTGGAAGGGGACTTTCTAATATGATCCTAAAGACAATTTCAAAGTGAATATCTTGATTAATGTTGCATGTAAAATTAAGTTGTTAAGTTAAAAAAAAATATTATATACATAGTGTATTCTGATTGGTTAATTATCTCGTGGCCACGACTTAGCTTTCTCGTTTCCACGACTTAGTTACTCGTGGCCACGACATAGTATCTCGTGGCCACGACTTAGCTATCTCGTGACCACGGTTAGTAACTCGTGGCCACGACATAGTATCTCGTGGCCACAACATAGCTATATCGTGGCCACGACATAGTAGCTCGTTGCCACGACATAGTATCTCGTGATCACGAGATAAATAAAAATACACACATGTCACCTTTGTGCTACCGTAGTAACTTTGTGAGGTTTTTTCTCTTTTTTTTTGAAATGCGAAATCTAGAACGTTTCAAAACTTATATGCCTGTAAACATTTAAAGTCCGCTGATGTTGACTGAATAAAGGCATAGAATGGCAATCATGCAAGTGAATTATGTTTGGTGAATAACTTAACACCTAAAAGTTGTTTTAAACGGAAACTACACCGGTGCGTGTTCTTGTTTCCTTCTTGTCGCTGACGGTAATTACCGAAAATGAGCGAATAAATACGTTTATTTAGTACGATGAGTGGGCGGAAAAATGGACGGAGCTTATTTGATCTCCTTTTGAAAAACGTGTAAAGCTGGATTATGCTGATCCGAATCATGATGGTTTGACAATGTAAAGCTAAGAATGTAACTTCTGTTTTGTCGGCGTATACACGAACAATGAGTATTCCGCATGTTATGATGAACACTTGGTATTGCTACTATCAGAAAAAACAGTAAATGTTTTGTTGTAAAACTAATTGTATTTTGTTGAAATACATTTTTACCATTTTAAATCGGCAAACTCAATCCAAGAATGCAACATTGGAGTTTTCGTACAAAGAAATACAATTGTATTTTGTCCGTTAACAAACTGATCAACAAGACTGGATTTTTGGCAACGAATAGCCTCCATATTTATAATCTGAAATATTTATAATTCTGAATACCGATAACATTGCATACCTTAAAAACGTTTCGTAATGTATAATTGTTTATAACCTATCAAAATCATGGTAAATTTTGAAAAACATAATCCATTACGTAAGATGTGAAATATAATGATAAGTATATCAATTGTCTTATTAACCGGTATAGAATGAATTGATGGTTGTGTTTGAGAAATATTAGATTATATACGGTTTGTTTGATAATAGCCAATGCAAATGCAGGCATCCGTTTCTTTTGTCCGGAACAAACTCAACACACATATCCCCAATTTCATTCATTTACTATTGTTTTTAAAACTATTGAACATGACGCGGTTTTCACAAATAGTATTTAAAGTAGCCGTTGTAAGTTTAAGGAACTCCACTGAGGTCCAAAAGCCTAAAAACCTAAAAAATTGATTTTCTTATAAAGACCAGGCGGGGCACTTAAAACGGAAAGATTTGGAACTAATGATACAGAAATATATCCAGATATAAACTGGAAATCATATTTGTTTGTGTTATTGACAGTAAAATTCACGATACCATCATTTATGAAGAAGAAAATACCTTTTTGTATAATTTTCTATTTTTCGATTGTTAATACAGATACCATTTTACTATTTATATAATAATATGTAGAAGATATCACGGACAAGAAAGTGTATTATTAGACAGAATAAGAAGTGGTTCATCATGGCGAGGCGGAATTAAGGTGAGACCAAACAGAGGGATTAAGATTTATTTACAAAAATACGAATGATATCAAAATTATTCTTACACTTAAGAAACCAGATGCAACTGTATAAAATGATAAAATAACTATAAGTTGTTTTGCTTTTGCAGAATGTACACCTTCTGCATCATCTACCTACTGGATTTCCCTGTTTTCAATTAAGAAAAGTATTTATTATTTAAAGAAATTGAAACATCAAAAAGAACAATCAATTAGCTACTATCATTATTGACCTTGGTCAGTCTGCAAAGCTAGTTACTGTCACTTTCAGTTCAAGTAGGTTAAAGCAGAAGAAAATAGAAAAACTACCGTCTTTAAGTTACTTCAGTTTAAAAATCTTGCTTCAAAAACATTATATAGTTGAAAGAAATCGAAATGACACTTTAGAATTGTCATACATTAAAATTTGTGCTCTGAAAACATACAGTTTGCTTTTCCGCCAACAGGAAACACCTTCCTTTATTATTTTACGGTATTCCTTCTTTGGGTTATTTCTAGTATCACAACACATGTGAACGCACAGAATCCGAGATCGTATCAAACATATAGGAAAACAAATGAACTACTTTAGTTTTGGTATTAATAGTAATTTGTGGCACTACAAATAATGATTTATTAATTATATCATAAAATATGATAACCAATACATCGATCGCAATTTTAGTTTGAAATATGATTAGAGCCCACTCATTACTAAATGTGTTTTTTAAGTGTTCTGTTCGCTAATGGAGATTGTCCATAGCAGCCACAGATTAGCTCGAATTGTTATGAAAGAGTCTGTCCAAAGGTGGTTATTATAATGATTTCAATTTTTGCTCTTCGCCGTATAACTTGCTTTATAGTAATGAGTTTGTCAGTATACTTTATGTTTATGTCTATGCAGAAAATACAAAATATAAATTGATATGTTTAATGTTCACAAACATGATATATTTAATCACTTGATAATTATACAAATTCTGAGCTGTACTAATCTATAAAGAAATAAAATGTTGTTGTAAGCAATCATTCGTCGTCATTCTTGGTTACATGTTCTTGGTTTACCTTTTTTGTCGCACGTCCGTGAACATTGTGAACATTTGTTCTTTCTATCCCTGCTTCCTTTCGTTTGGACAAGCTGTAAAAAATTAAAAGAAAATCGATTAATCATAATAATGAACAAAAGAACTGGAAGACACATTTAGATAAATGTTTCAATTGCAATGCATGTAGAACTCTGAAGTCCATTAAAATGACAAATGTTTATTTTTACAAGTAAATCCCATTCAGAGTGCATGGTCCAGCATAAGACATAATTATGTAGATAAGGCATGCAAGTATGTAGAGGATTTGAATTATTTTATAGAATTAAATTAATAGGATAACCGAAATGTTGACAAACGGTATTTGTCACCGAGATAAAGGCAAAACAATATCTCAGTAATAAAATCATGTCTATTTTTGTCTTGTAGTCGATGAATTATTAACATTTAAAGGCACGTTATGCCCCAGAAATGATTATAATTTTATTTCCCAAAATCCTTTTATTTTTGGTGTCCTGCTATTGTTTCCAATATGTTACTCATTGGCCAGGTACCTTTGCGTCTGTTACTTTTGTTAATTAGTATAGTTATAGTAATTTGGTATTTTGTATGGAAGTCAAAAAACTACTTTGTTTACAATTTGCTATATTTATTACAACAGATTTCACATTATCTGCTTCATTCGTTTGGTTTTAAGTATCTAACATGCTATAAAACCATTATGTAAACATTTCAAACTCGTGTTTGCCCTTTCTAGATATAGGGAAACATATTAATTACTGAGACATAATGTGCTTTTAAAGTATCATGTTCACAAAGACTATAAGTACTTTTTTTAAATGTATAGTCATGTAACTATTAGACAACATCAAATAAGTAAACGAACAAAGAAAAAACACTCTGTCATTGTAAACTAGACTTACGTCTCGCATGACTTATTCTTGTTAGCTCGTTGAGTGATATACCAAATATGTTTTGAAGCGCAGATTCTATCCTTCCAACAATAACCTGGGTCAACTGCATTTGTCGTGTTTTTATATATAGCCACGGATCATCACATCTTTGTTCCATTGTCGACCATTTTGTGCATCCCCAGTCAATAGAAAACCCTTGATAGTCCGTTGCTACTATAACCATTTTTCCAGAAAAGTTGTCCCCTAAAATATAGTGTTTTTAATTAAATTTCTCTCACAAATGAATTGTGAACTTGTTCGCTTATAGTTTTATATAATATTTAAATATTCACACAATTCTATATAAACATATACGAGTACATTATCATTTCTATGGATTTGATGAATTGGCTATTTTGATCACTGCACTAGATACCGCAACAATAATCATCATATATACGATTCACATACGTTACGCTGTCGTTAATCCGTTGTCGTAAATAACACAATTATGCATAAAAATATATATTTTGTGTTTAGGAAACTGCAACATACGGAGAAGGTATTTTACAATGCTTACCGCTCGGTCAGCAAGAATTGTGTTCTCACGACACAGATTATGTCATTGGATTACATTAATTAATAATGCAATTCATTCTTTAACTGTATCATTGATTGGTGACCTTTCTGTTTAAAATTTGTCAGAGATAAATCGTATACATATACATGTTCAGTGCGTTAACTGCATTGCAGGTATTAGTTAATAGCACTCCAGAGCATGCCCATTGATTGGCTCATTTTGTCTAGGGTTTACTTATTGTAACGACAGAGAAAGGGATAGCGATAGAAATATCGTATTCAGGTGCTCCATAATTGTTTTTTTTTCTCTGGGGTTTCATATTGTGACAACAGGGAATGTGGTTTTTTTTTGCTATTAATAAAAAAGAAAGAAAAATCATCAAAACACTCGGCCTCTCGTACAAATCAGATAGCCTCGTGTTTCGATGCTCTTTCGATGTACCTTTTAAAATGTCTAATATTTTAAAGATATGCATGAATATGGATCTTTGCATTTGTGATAATTTGTTATTTTATAGATTAAATAGATATACTTTTTCTGCTTCAATACTAAAGTGTATAAAGGATATCAAAATCTGGAACAAGGTATTATTTTTCAGTATAGCCCTGACCAACTTTAAATTTAACCTTTAACCTTCAGGCGGCAAAACATTAAAAGTGATACAGTGGGAATATCTGGCTATGCATGCTCCACATTATTTTGGTGTGCTGCATTGCAAAGGTATAGGGTCATATTTCTAAATGAATGACAAAGCCACATCCGAAACAAGAATGTGAAACGGTTGGTGAACAGTGCGAGTTTCAGATGTGTACATTCGGAGGGCATGGGAATAACTAAAAAATAAGTAGGAACACTTTAATGTATTATCTAACATGGAGTTAATTTTGATAATAAGAATGCATATTTATAGTAAGAATGAAGAATTAAGAATCGTTTTACCCATGATATCTTTAACGGACAACTTTCCAGGGCCTGTCACAGTGAAAATCGTTGTCATCTTGTTACATAGATTACGATTTCTGTAATAAAGGTAACATATTTATATGCCTCATTAGTTATTAAAAAATGTTTTTTCTTCTCAATAAACATATACAAAGAATAGTCAAAGAAGTATGCTCTTTTATTATATACCTTGATTCAGGTACTACTGAACAAAATCTATATATTGCACTCATGCTAAATATCTTGCTTCGCATAACACTGTAATAATAATAATTTATACTACAATTACCAAAAAATGACGTATAGAAGTGGCCGAATGGCCGAGAAGTTAACGCGTCGGACATGTTAACTAGTAATCTAAGTATCTCTAGCGGTAGCTTTAAACCCCGCCAGGGGCAAGTCATTGTTATCTAGAGCAAAAACCTTTATATTGCTTAATGCTGATTGTTTCAGGAAGTTGTTACGATATGCATATAGCTTTCTACACGTGTAATCGAACTAAACTGATTATACTTTATTTATTCATTTCTTGTTCTAAGTTTATGATAACAGAAACACGTTCAAAAAAACACATCTGTTCATAGTTCATCTGCCCAAATATTTGATAAGTTTGCTTATTTAATGGGTAGATCATTAATAATTGTGTTTATCAAGGCATTTTGTCTTTTGTTCATCATGATATCATATAAAATGACTATTTTCTAAACTTATTTACGCGACTTAATTAACAACGGCATTTCAAAAATGACACATTTTACGTCATAAACTCCATTGCCATTTAGATACATCTAACTTTCACAGTATACTGATATAATAATTAATTGAAATTTATCAACTTACCTCATAGATTCATGAGCCAAAAATACATTGCCATCAGGTACAAACAATTGGGTGTAATCCGAGAAGTCCTCTGAAATAGCCCAACTACATGGTGCCTTATGAAATTGATGAAACCATGGACCAAGCCACTAAAAAGTTAATGACAGCATATTTTATCTTTCAATCGCAACAGAACTGTCAATCTATTATTTAATCATCATGAAATGCACATATACATGTACATTGTATATTAAGGAAATATATATCAATTCTGAGTGCATTGTTGTAGAATAATGCACGGTTTGAGTTCAAATGCGTAGTAATATAATCACGAAGGCCGATAGGCCTGAGTGATTAATTACAAAGCATTTGAACGAAAAACGTACATTATTAATACAATAATGCACGAAGAATTAATATCTATTTCCATTCTAACACGTCAAGAAAAAATATAATTATTATTATAAAGTTGGACTTTATGTTTGGTGGTTAAATTTGTTTTCGCCTCAGAGTTTCCAATAAAAACGTTCTTTAAAGGCTGTTCCAGTGGGTTGAAAAATTGGAAAAAAATTGTCGTTAAATCTACCGTGTGTAGAAACATTAGAGAATAACGAATTTCGAAAACGTTGATAAAACTTTGTTTTTTTAATTTTATTTCACTCTATTATTTTTCAAGCGAAATACAAATTATTAAAAGTGAAATAAATGTATAACTTAACTCGTTTGCGACACTAAAATAGCGTACTTGATTTGATTGTTTTGCACGTGCTGTTTGACGCTACATTGTGACGTCACGTGAACAATTCTTTAATTCAGTCGTTAACGCTGTACAGGCGTTTGAAGTGTTGTTTACGTGACGTCACAATGTAGCGCCAAACAGCACGTGCAAAACAATCAAATCAAGTACGCTATATTAATGTCGCAAACGAGTTAAGTTTTACATCAATTTCACATTTAATAATTTGTATTTCGCTTTAAAAATTGTAGAGTGAAATAAAATAAACAAACAAAGTTCTATCAACCGTTTTCAAAATTCGTTATCCTCAAAATGTTTCTACACACGGTAGATATAACGACAGTTTTTTTAACCCACTGGAACAGCCTTTAAAGAACGTTTCTATTGTAAACTCTGAGGCGAAAACAAATTTAACCACCAAACATAAAGTCCAACTTTATAATAATAATTATATTTTGTCTTGACGTGTTAGAATGGAAATAGATATTAATTCTTCGTGCATTATTGTATAATAATGCACGTTTTTCGTTCAAATAGTTTGTAATTAATCACTCAGGCCTATCGGCCTTCGTGGTTATATTACTACGCATTTGAACTCAAACCGTGCATTATTCTACAACAATGCACTCAGAATTGATATCTATTTCCTAAATAATTTCTAATTTTACGGGTACATGTATGTATCTCGATAGTTTGCAATCAATTTATATTCAATTACAAGTTCTTTTCCCAATTTGTCTGTTATAAGTTATAAAATCGTATTAATTTTCATACAGCCAAAATGAGCCAAATAGTAAAGAACCAACCTATATAAAAATAACAAATATATAGTCATTAAATTCATAAAGATTTTCAAAATAAGAAGATCAAAATGCATTTTACGTACGTGGAAGAATACAGAAAATTTGCTGGCGTTTCAGCAACGTCTCCTCTTGTAATGCTAGCTCAAACTACGCAGTGATTTTATATAGAAGGTCATCATTTCGAATTTATGCAATTTTAATTGCTTCTTTATTATTCAACATGATCTGTTAATCAAGTCCATCATTTTCATAATTTCTTTGCAAGTTAAGATAATGTATTTGTTCCCGTTATTGCACAATGCTAGTTTATACGTCTAGGTCACATCTCTACTTTATCATAAAACAACAACACCGTTGTGCATTTCGAGAATTGATTATTGAGAGAAACAGCATGACATAAGCAAATTATATGCATGGTGAAACATAAACATGTATAACATAATTTATTATATATAAACAAATATTTGTAAGTGCTGCATTATTTAAAAGTCGTTCCCTTCATTGTATAAAAACACAACAAACCAGCAGGGGCGTAGGAGGACCCATGCTCTGTCCGGTCATTAAGCCGCTTTCAGTTTAGATGACGTCTGCTCTGTGTAGCCATGCATTACAACATGCATAGAAAAATTTACGAACATCAACAAATAATGCTTTAAGAACCATATTCACGATGCTATTACAAAGTCATCAATATTTCGAAATTCTAAATGTGATTTTGAACAGATAATGGCTGTTCTCTGTTATATACTCGATAGAAACTGAATATGAGTCACGCCCTGTGACAATATATACTCCGACGCAGTCGAGCAAAAAAAAAAACCTGACCGATACTCTTGTATTACCACGGTAAGAACAAGACAACAATTATCCGCTATAACGCGGATAATTTGAAATAATTTCGTAATGTTCGAGTATACATACAGTTCAAAAGGTAATGTATACTGTACAATTGTCAATTTATTATATCAATCAAATAGCAAATATTGGCTACTCAAATATCATAACGATGTAATTTAACATGCTTAAATATAATTTTAAAAAATAGCGATATTTGGTTTCAAAAATATTGATAAAAGGGAGGGCAATACACTTTATGACCTCTCATTGCATGATATATATTATATATTAGATCTGTTTTTATAAATTATTGACTTTGTAATAGACCTCATTTTATAATATGCTTATATCATGACATTGTTGTCATTTAAATTCCGACTGTATAATAACTGTTTACAGATTGGCATACTGTATTAATAAAATTTATCTGATCTTATCTTATCTGATCTCATTTTATCTTAAATGGAACTAACTTACAAAAAAAAAATAAAGATAATCGACATTGTAAAAAGAATCATTATAATGGTAATGATTTTGAAAAAATATCTAAAAGCCTTATCCACTTAATTTCAATACATTATACCACGGCTGAGTATTAGATGTTTTTTCAATCACATGCTTATGAGTTTATTAAGAAACTTTTTAACGTTTATTTATTTCAATTTTTTTATGACACAATTTGCATACTAATTTGAAACAAGCGATATATTAGTTTAGTATACAAAATATATCCTTAACACACTTTTATTTGAATTTAAAAAAGAAATAGGACACCCTTCTTTCTAAAATAAACACTTAAAATAAAACAGTCTGCAAAAAAATACAAATAGATATGCTCAGAATCAAATTGGTATTTTAATGTGATTTTTAGTCCAGGTTTGAGTGAAAAGCTCTGTTACGCTTTTACTTTTGGGTCATTTTGCTCAATAAAAATTATGATTTCGTGAAAACCAGAATGAAGCTATCCAAATATTTTCATACCATTTATTAGTTACGACCTATATCAAATGGTACAGTAATCTCGGAAAAAAATCCAATCAAGACATGTTGTGCATGTCAGCTTATTCTTTCATGCCATTTGATCGGATTTCATAATTCATAAATGATGCAAAACTATTATGATGTTTGAACTGTACTATTTCTGAACCTCATTAAAGGTATTCATATCCAACAGGTAATCATAAATACAAAGCATGTATAGGTTAATTTTTTCAAACTATTGAAACTAGTGATGAAAACGTTATATATTGAAAATATTCATTTGAAAATCATCAACTCACATTGCATTACCAGTCTAAAAATAGAATATACATCATTAACATTTCGTATTTGGGGAAGCCCCCCCCCCCCCAAATAATGTTGTTGTGTCTTTTGGCCCAACCCTTTTGTATATTTTCATTAATCTAATGTATTTATGTAAAATTGTGAAAAAAATATGTATGTATATACATGTATATACAATAAAATATAAAATATGTTTAAACCTTAAACATTTTGTCACCTTAGTGGAATAAATGAATAATTGTTATTGCACTAAGGTGACGATTTGTGAATCATACAGACTAAAATCACCTAAAACCTGGTATAATTATAATTTTGCTCGTGGTTGGTTCGGGTTAGTAATTGACATTCTTCAGTCGAAATAATAGTCAAGGAACGGAATACTAATATGTTATATAATTTATGTTTATTATATTATAGGATGCCACCTAATTGACCGTAATACTATTCATCATTTGATTTTATATGTCACTTTAGTTTAATGTTCATCCATAATTACATACATGGCGTGGTGTGTACTTTAAAATATAAAATAAACCACTGAAAGGCCTACACATACTTGGCCAAAGATTCATCATAATGATTTTACAAAGTTAACGCTTATATGAATACTAATGAAATACTATGAAATTGTTCTATTTTTGTTTGGTTTGAAAGGCAAATATAAAGTTCACGCTAGAAAAAAGATCGATTTATTAATATAAAGATAGTGTTTGTACTTTTGAATAAGTGCAAAAAGGGTAACAATGATTTATGAACATAAAAGGAGGACTTATTTGACATTCATTGAATATAGATAGATAATTGTGCAGTTAAAATACAGACAAATAATATTGAAGTTGGCCCAACTCGTTAATATTTAAATGTTGCAGGTTTGGATTGATTGTGTCTGGTTATTGACAGTGTTTAGTGCACGCCCTCTACCACCGGCTAGTCATGTTTAATATATGCTCTCTTCTCATCTAAAGAACACGAAAGCTCTCGCCTAATTTACAGTGTTTCGAAAGAAAATGTCAAGGCAATATTATACAATATTGACAAAGTGACAGATCTTCATAAACTATTATAAGATGCTTATCTTCGCATTGTATTAATTACAGTTAGTATCAACATCGTGGTTCTTTGTATATTCGATTGCCTCAGGCGACTTTTACATACCGTAAGTAAACAGAGTAAACTTGAATGATTAAATAAAACACAAATATAGTAGTTACATGTATATAAAATAATGTATTTCATTTACCGCGAATATAGACACCGAATTAGCAATTCTGTATTCCTGAATGTCGTTAATGGTTGTTCATTTTTATTTAAGTGATAATTCAGTTTCTAGCCTGTTTGTTTTCATTTGCTTGCAGTATTTGGTTTTACTTCTTGTTTGATTATTTTTCTAAGATGGCGTTAACATTACATCTAACAAAAATATAATTGGCGTTGGTAAATACTAAATAATATTGTTGTAATGTACAGGCGAATAACTTTGACAGTAAAA